CAAATCTCCCAAAGAAGCTCGAACATGTGCTCAAAGAAGATCTACTTGGAGTGCCTGCTGTATAAAAATCCCTTGCCCGTGGTTGCTTGTTATCACCCAAAACCATATATCCTCCAACTGGATACCTTAGAGTCAGCAGCTTTGGATCCTCTAAAAGATTCGACACCGTTTGAGACTTATACAAAATTTCCTTCTCGGATTGATGTCTTATCCATTGAATAGTGTGAATAAGTGGACCTCGATCTGACCCATCCCAATAAGCTTTACAGCCCATCGATTTACTGTTTATAATTGAAAATAATTTTTTTGCACCCAAAAGCCCGGTGACCGCCATGTTATCTCCAATATTTGGGCTTTGAATATCCGAGCCCACCACTCCATCCAGTTTAATTGGAATAAAATTGTTTTTGTTGGGCCCCCTCCCATCGTAAACCTCTACAATATTTTTAATGCATATCTCCACTCTTGTTCCATTGAAAAACTCCCTTCTTCTTGATGAAATCAGTGCCCCCTCTGTACTCGAGCCACCGCCCTCTTTCCCATCTAATTCCAGCCTTTTGCTTTTACCCAGAGAAACATGTGCAACATTTCTAGTGCAAATCTCCACGCTTGTTCCATTAAAGTACTCCCTGCTTGATGAAATCTGTGCCCCCTCTGTACTCGAACATCCGCCATCATTCCCGCCCTGTGTTTGAAGTGGCGTCCCATACTCTTTGTCAGAGACAATACTGTCAGAGAGTTGGTATGCGGGCATCTCGTAACTCGCGTCCGCTTTCTCAGTCCCGTCGTGACCAAACATTCTGTCATCACCGGTGGTGACTGGGCAGTCGATGGCGCCGATTCGAAAACTGGCGCATTTTCCCGTCGCGTGGGTTGCCTCCCCGAGCTCGGCCGTCGCCGGATGACTTGTTCCAGAGGTCCTTTGTAATTGTTGTTCCTTTTCCAGAGACCCAACAAAAGCTTCAGGTCTACCCCTACCTTCAGCCGTAGTCATGGGTCTCTTCGCTGGCGAAAGTTGCCGGATCCTGACCCTGAAGACTAGGTCTCCATCAGCCACTTCTACTACCTCAGGGATGAAACCAGTTAAGTTGGTTTTGAGTTTTATCTTTGCTTCGAGCAAGAAACCGAATCCAGCTGTTGTTTGATCGATATCCGCCAGACCTCCGCAAGCCTCGCCGATGTCCTGGAAAGATTTTTTGGTCCACAGGTGCGGTGGTAAACCTTCCAGTGCAACCCAACCACCGTAACTCACCGCCAGTCTTTGATTTGTGTTCAAACTCTCCCACCACCCCGCCAGTTTCACCTCGGGGTACTCCTTCATACCTATTGCTCCGAGTAGTGCTATTTTTTTTGCTTCCTCCTCGTTCTGGCAAACAAACAGTGCTTTGTTGCATTGAAATGGCGATAGTCTGATGTCCGTTCCCAGAAGATTTCGAAGTGATGCCTCCACCTCCCTCCATGATTGATGCACCGCCTTTCTCTCACAGACTACAACGCTTCCCCAACTGTAAGATTCTTTAGAGCGTTTCCTCTGGTTCCAAGTGAATTCTTTCCAAAGTTCCTCTCTGGCTCTCCAATTGTATTCCTCCTTTGTCGTCTGCCTTCCTCCAGTGACTGCATCCCTATAAGAACCTTGAGTACCGGCTCCCAACATATCCCTTCTAGGCTCAGTTTCAACCCGATTCCTCTTCCTCAATTTATTCCCCGTCTTCTTTCCCCCTTGCAGTATTTCGTACATCAGCTCCTCCAGATTTCTCCATCCTATACCTTTGAAACCTTTTGGAACGAAGATATTTCTGACAAAACCATCCTTTTCGGTTTTGGAGAGGACAAGGAACTCCCCGTTTCTGTTCTGAAATCCTTCAACCCAAAACTGATAGTTGTGGCCTTTGTATTTTCTGAAGAAGTTCAAACCACCTGTGGTAATGACCGCCTTTAGCTGCTCAATGATCCATGCTGCACAACCCAAATCAAAAGATATCTGATATCCTCTGGTTCTCGTTCTCTCTGTTACCCGAATCCATTCGCCAAAAGATCATTTTGAATTCTAAAGAGTTAAAGAATAAAGTGTCTAACACACAAGATGAAGCTTTTGGTAGTTCAAGGAAGGAATAAGGAAAAGAGCAAGCTTGGAAAGAACACTTGTAGCTATTGTTATAAGGAAGGTCATTGGAAAGTAGATTGCCCTAAACTCAAGGGCAAAAAAAAGCGGTTTGATAAGTCTTTTGCTAGTGTTGATGCAAGCATTGTAGAAAATCGTTGTTCTGAACTCCTCTAAAGGTTATGTGAGGAGGTGGAGCTTGGTACTCAAGCTCTTTGGATGGAGTGCAATTCGCACTTTTTGTTCGTATGTTCAAGCTTTTGCTTGGATTTTGTTTTGTATTTGTTAGTTTCAGTAATGGAATTTGTTGGAGAAGGCGTTGGAGGAAATTTAAAGTTTGAAGACTTTTGGATTTTTTTATTCTAGGCAGGTCAGTTTCGAAAGAATTTGGTGCACGTTTGCATTTGTATTTTGGTATCCCGAATTTGAAGTTTGTATTTGATTTGGAAGTTTGCTAATTTCTCGTCGAGGTTGAGATTGTTGGGTTTTACGACTCAAAATTAGGATGATGCAAAAAATTAGGTTTGTGTTACCTATTTGGTTTTGGTGCCCTATTTGGGTTTGGATTTTGACTTCTTAGTTGGTTTCCTTGGTGGAGAGAAGGTATTTATAGGAGGAGATTTGAATGGACATGTGGGTAAGGAGACAGGCAACTACGGAGGTTTTCTTGGTGGCCATGGTTTTGGGGAAAGAAACAAGGATGGGGAAGCCATCTTGGATTTTGTAATGGCATACGATCTCTTCTTAGCCAACACCTTATTTAAGAAGAGAGAAGAACATGTGATCACCTACAAGAGTGGGTCGTCAAAAACACAAATAGATTTTCTTCTAATAAGGAAGGGGGATCGTATAACTTGTAAGGATTGCAAAGTTATACCGGGAGAGAGCTTGGCTAATCAACATTGCTTATTGGTGATGGATGTACATATCAAAAGAGAGAAAAAAGAACAAGACCTTGAAGTGCCCAAGGACTAGATTGTGGAATCTAAAAGGAGAAAAATAATCCATTTTCAAGGAGAAAGTAATTACCCAATGTGTTTGAGATAGAGAGGGGGAAGCTAGCCAAATGTGGGATTTCATGACTAGTTGTATCCGAAAAGTAGCAAAAGGGGTATTAGCAGAGTCCAGGGGCTTTGCTCCACACCAAAAGGAATCTTAGTGGTGGAAGGAGGAGGTACAGACAAAGGTTAAGGCTAAGAAGGAATGTTGTAAAGCCTTATACATGGATAGGACCGATGAAAATGGTGAAAGATATAGAATAGCGAAGGAGGAAAAGAAAGCTATGAGAGAGGTTAAGCTAGCGGCTTTTGACGATATGTATAAGCGACTAGATACCAAAGAAGGAGAGTTGAATATCTATAAACTAGCTAGAGCAAGGGAAAAGAAGACACGGGACCTAAACCAAGTGAGGTGCATTAAGGATGAGAATGGAAATGTTCTTGCTACAGAGAACGCGGTCAAAGAGTGTAGAAAGGAGTACCTATCTACAAGGAGTACTTGTTTGGGGGAGGTGAGTAACTCAAAAGAGTAGAAATTACTCCTTTTACCGCCGAATAAGGAAGGAAGAAGTGTTTGTAACTTTGAAAAATATGAAGCATAGAAAAACAGTGGGCCCAGATGATATATCGATCGAAGTGTGGAAAGTCTTGGGAAAGACGGGTATAGCATGGCTCACAGACCTTTTCAATAGGATTTTGAAAACGAAGATGATGTCAAATGAGTGGCGAAATTGCACTTTGGTACCTATCTGCAAGAATAATGGCGACGTACAAAATTGCATGAACTATAGGGGTATTAAGTTAATGAGTCATACAATGAAGCTTTGGGAGAGAGTAATTGAGCATAGACAAGGTCTAGAACAACCAATTCGGGTTCATGCCAGGGTGTGGCACAGAACCGAGTGCAATGACGTTCTAGGATTCATATAGCCTACCCCACTTAATGGGAAAAGGCTTTGTTGTTGTATGTGATGTTCAGTACACGTGTTTGTTCTATTTTTGTTTATACATGTCATACACCCCTTATCCTCTACTTCCGAGATGCAGACTGAACCTATGTCATCGAACTATTCTTTTTATCTAACAAAATCTATTCATTATATTTGTTTCTTTTCATGTTACAAGAAGAGTATTGCTTTATGATGAGGAAGATTCCTAGAAAACGAAGATTATACTGCTATCTTTGTGATAGTCTTGTCATCAATTGTGGTTTTCATTTTTTACTTACATAAAAATAATTCACTGTCAATGATACTAGGACTATGATGCTTCATTTTCTGTAAAGACCCTTTCTCCACAGCTGTCCTTCTAATTACTTTTCATTACAGACAAAGGAACGCACGGTAATATCCTTTTAGTAGAAAGCAAAATGTGAAAAATGAGAAGTGTAGTGCTACTTCCACACCCTCTCGCCCGTTAGACCAACCAAAAGGTGCTTTTTTTCTATTCAGGTCATGGATTATGGCAAATTCTGTCACAAGATGATATATCTGTATTCTTATTGGTAGAGAGACCGCTATGTTTAGCAAAGAAGGGGCATACGTTCTACTTCTAGACACTTACTCCTGTCACGGTTGTGTCACTAACATGGATTCTTATCTTGGCTATCATCAGTTCTATTATAGTGAAAGTGATCTATTCTTATATGAAATACCTACCTTGTGTCAATATTTATTTTTATCTTTCTATCATATTAGCTTTGAATGATTTTTCAAAACTGAGTCTGTACATGAATTCATTTGTCTTACCGAATGTATTTATAGAATGTATCGTTGTTATATTATTTGAACTTTAAGTTTGCACAACTCTTTGCTTATTTATGATTTTTTGGTTGTCGTACCCTCCATTTCTTGCTTTACTACTAAGTTCTTATTTGAGCTTTGCTTTAATCATTGGTGCAGCTCATTCCGATACGACTGTCGCGATGATGCTAGTAGGGAACAAATGTGATTTAGAGAATATTAGGGCTGTGAGTGTTGAGGATGGTAGAAGCCTTGCTGAAGCAGAGGGGTTGTTCTTCATGGAGACATCTGCCCTGGACTCAACAAATGTTAAAATGGCTTTTGAGCTTGTGATTCAAGAAATATATAACAATGTCAGCCGGAATGTCTTGAACTCGGATACCTACAAAGCAGAGTTATCTGTGAACAGGGTCAGCCTTGTTAATAATGGAGCAGACGGATTAAAGAAAACCCAGGGCTATTTTTCTTGCTGTTCCGGGTGATATGGCTTATTTCTCCGAAAAGAAGACAAACAAGTGTAAGAAAGAGCACTTGAGAGCATTTTCAAGGTTGGTTATTCAATTTGGTTCGTTAATTGGTTTGTTTGTTTGCTATTGGGTAATACCTACTCAAAGGTTTCCAAACAAGTCGATATTATACATAGAAGTTCTCTTTTTAATTCATGTAATACAAGTAGAATTTTTGTACTCTGTATGGAGGCCATGTAACTTCTATAAAATGAAGGCCGGCAACCATCTTCTTTTGTGTGATATTAATCGGTCTGATAAGCATATTAAGTTCAGTAACTAGACAGAAATTGTATGTGATTTAATAGTGCAGTGGAAAAAAATATCGAACGGTGTTATTCTGATTCGTGACATGCACATCTATCAAAGAGAAAAATTTAGCAGACTTTCTTTTGCGAGTTTCTGTATGTTCTGAATACTTGGTACAGATTTGTCCAAAAGAGAATACTTGGTACAGAAGTTTATCAATTTTTTTTCTTGTTTTTGGTTTTCCATCAGTTATATGTCTCTTTCGTCATTTGAAGATATTGAATTTCATGTTGAAAAATAGATTATATGTATGCAGTGAAATATAAAGTAAATAAGACACAATATTTATGAGATTCGGCAAAGTGTGCCTACGTCTTTGGGGCAACATTAATACTTTCTTTCATTATCTGAAATAATAGAAGTACAAAATAACTTACTATTTTCTCTCTTCTCTCTTGCTTGGCTCATTGATATTTTCTCCTGCATACATCTTTCTTTTCTCTCTTCTTTCCTTTCCTCCATATGCTCTCATTTTATAGGCAAAAGATTACTGTAGCAACAGTATTCGCTTTACAAACTTTCTTCTTATGAACAGGGCCGACCTTGAGAATTTGAGGGTCCTAGGCGAGCCTTTGAAGTGGGGTGCTAGAGTTCTCTGACTCTCGACCCTTTGTACATTGACGTGTGTAAAAAAAATTCACTAAATACATGAAAAATCTATTTCTACGTCAAATATCATTAAAAATTAATATTAAAAAAAGAAAAATATACAAACATTACTCAAATATTTCCCGTCTCGCATTTTTAGATGCAAATGCACTTATTAAGTTTACATAATCTAATTTTTCAACCAATTCAAACTGAAAGAGAAGTCCCTACCCAATACGCCAAATTCCAAACATTTTTCTATTGTTACAATGTTACGTATTACATTCAATAAATGAATGAATGGTTGGATTACAAAGACAACATCTTACAACTAGGAAAAATACTAGAGTAAAAAGAGGATAGTAATTTTTGTATACGAACCTAGGCGGATGAGACGGATTTGAATAATTTATTATATATTATACAAACTAATTAATTTGAACATTAAATAATGTCATTTTTCAAAAAGGTGAGTTTTAATCTTCTAGGTACATAATAAAGATAAATGTGGTGTGATCTTAAAATAGAGTAATAAAACCCCATAAAAATAAACATAAATGTGATATTTAAGAGAGAAGCAAAAAAGTAAAAATAAGATGGGGACTATTTAAAAGGGAGAAGACTTGCAGCTATAAAAAAGATGGTGGGACAATCTTATGTAAAATCGTGCAATTAAAATGATGTTGGGAATAGGGTTGTCTTCTTCCTCACGCAAGGCCGACCCTGCAACAAAAGATTTCCATATTTCGGTGTTTACATATAAGCCTGCATAGCTCCCGCATATCTCCGTCCAAACCTGCCTGGGGGCCCTTCCGAAATGGGGGTCCTAGGCTGGCACCTACTCCAGCTACCCTCAGGGCCGGCTTTGCATATGAATAATAATACATATGATTTTTAGTAATGAACAATTCATGTGGTCCATCAACATATTACATTACAACACTCCCCCTTGGATGACCATACGTCAATTTTGGTTGCCTCGTTAAAACCTTGATCTATTTTGGATGCTCCCCTTGATGGGTATCTTTCCCCAGATTTTGAATTCTTCAATTTGGCTGATTACTAAGTTGATGTAATATGATACCATGCATGATAATTGAAGTGTTTGCTTCTGAAGGTGGTTCGCATGCGCTCCAAATTTTAATGGGTTGCAAGTATTAGCCAAATACATTCATGACTAGCTTCATGGAGATATGTATTTATGAGAGATATGAAGATGCATCAATGAATCCTTGCTTCCTTGATCGTTGCAAAGTCAATCTATTTTCATATGTAAATACAAATCTTTTCTGAGAGCGATTTGTATGCAGGCTAAAGAGGTATTAAAATTTTGCTTGCCTAATAAGACCATGACTTTTAGTGAGTTCTTTGGAATAAAACAAACACATGTCTATAATGTCCTGGAGATATCAACAAATAAACTTTATTTCATTGCAATATCCATTTTTTTGGTATTATGCTACACAGGGAGTGTAACATCTGATTTAGTGTGTATAGTAAAGCACATACTTTATTAAGATATGGTACTCTTGGACCAAATATCAATTCATCATTTCCCTCACGAGGATGAATGATCTTTCTTAGTGCCTAAAAATTAATTTACCATTTGAGTGTTCAACTCATGATCTTCAATCCAAATGGTTCTTTAATACCATATAACCCTTTTGGTGGATAAGAATCATGTTGGCATATTGTTCGATATGTAACTCGAGACAATATTCCTTTCAACACTTTATAATCTTTCTAGACTCTTAAGGAGTCTCATTCTAATATTATCAACTCTTGCAAGAAACTTAGTATGTTGCAACAACATCATAGTGATAGTACTCACTAAGGAGATTTATACAATCCACTGGCATTGAGTACATAATTTGTGCTTTACCTTTCCAGGGCTTTCTTCAAGCAATTTGAATCCTTCAAGGATTTTCTACACTTCCTAACACATTCTCCTTGGAATTTATACAGAGTAACTTCCTTCCATGTATACTTGAGGAATTTACTTGTGGAGATATGCTTCAGGCATCAGAAAGTTCGTGTACATATAATTCTCCATTTAAATGAACAAGTTTCACAATGAGAAATCATGTTTGCAGGAGTATATCACAGTTTTAGGTTTCAACTAGGAATCATGTGTCATATCATGTGAGTGTAGTTCATTGTATCACAAATGCCCATATGTAACCTTTTGGGTTCAACATCATTTGGAGATTTGTACTATAGGTCCATTTTTCCACATTCTTAATCAACTGTAATGGAATTGCCTTTCTCCATTTTGGCCAATAATTTTGCTTTTTGTTGACGAACAAAAGAACGTGGCTCAATATCAACACAGCTCTTTGATGAATTTAGTAGCTATTGTAAAACCAAAATTAACATTGGTAATCATCAATTCGTGATCCCATAATTCTCATGTGCATGCGCATGCATATTTATAAGCATTTCATTACTTTGGATATCCTTACCTTACATTGTCTCTTCTAGGACAATCATCTCTTATTAGATGAATTGTTTGAGAATTTGGATCATAACCTCCTCTAGAGCGTTATAGAGTTTGGATTTTTAATCTCCACTTATGAGGAGTTGAATCATTGGAAACTACACATCGATCATGCTTCAGGCATGAGATATATTAAAATTTTCGTGTCCATGGATTATCCCTTTTGGCACTTGAATCCATGTGGCGACTGTTATGCTTCGAGCATGCAACAGTTTAGTAGTGCCAAGTCTATGGATAGTCTGACTGAGACTCCAATCTGTGTGGCATCTCTGTAACTTGTAATCAATTAGTAATTTTCATTACCTTTTTGTACATCATGTGAATTATATAAATTGGTAGTGTTTGTTGGGGTTGTAAGTAGGATTCCCATCATTGAACTTTGGTCTTCCATTCACTCAAGGCTTCCATGGGCTCATCGTTGATTCTTCTGCTTCAGTCTCTTGCACAGTAGAAGTGGTGCGCAATCCATCACTTCTTGGTGACTCATCCATGCTTGGCATCTTTAGTGTAAAAAACCAACATCATACCAATTATTTTGCGGTGTTGGTGACTTGAGGCCCAGCTCCAACAATAGTTGAAGATGACTACTTGAGAGCAATGCAAGGTAAGCAATCAAGGAAAAGTTCCAGGCAGTCGGTTCCTGACCAGAAGTTTGATTTCAAGTTCCAACTGATTGCTTTCTTTATCCTTATCTTGTAAGCAAAAGCAAGGGCAAAGGAAAAGACAAGGAAATAGCATGATATGAGATACTCTTGCTTTCGACCCTGATGGTATGGGATACTTTTGCTCTTGAATGAAAAAGTATAAAATCTTAATGTAAACCTTTTCGATCGAAAATGGTTTCTTGCTGAGAAAATGAGTTTGATATTTTGAGGATTTGCTTGAAGACGTATTCTCATAGAGAAAGGAGACTGAATATGTTGAGAGGTTTGGTTACAGATGCATTCTCGGCAAGGAAGATGAGTTAGGCGTTTTGGAGGTGAGCCTTGCAATCGAAGACAAAGGTCAACATATATAGGGATTTCCCAATAGCAGGTAGTGGTGCGGTTGTGACCTTGTCACCCACGTTTGTTGGCAATAGTGGTGTAGTTGGAATAGTGAACTTTACGCGTTTTAACTTTGCCAGAGATATTTTAACAGAGTTGTCCTTAATATCCAGAAAGTTGAGATTTCATCTGAGAAAATGTTGACAAACTTTATTCAAGAAAATTCGGCTTTTGAAATTCAAAAAGCGGTGCTCTTCAATTTTTGAACAAGTGGTTGTGTTGCCTCTCTTTTTATAGAGGTATTAATTGTATTCAAAATGCACGCTTTGAAAATTGCCCGCCTTTGAAAATTGTGTCTGTTGTATTTTTGCGATTTCATATATCTAACCCTTTTCTTTCATCATTTTCTGAAACTGGCTTGCCCATCTAACCTTTATTTAGATTTGAGTCTCGGGGGAGATGCACACGTCCCGCTTCAGGATAATATATGGTGCCAGTCCTTTTTATCTTCTAATGGCCTTCTTACGATTGGAGACCCTATGATGAAGGATGATATAACAGCTACAATAGTAGCTAGGAACCTTTTCACTCCCAGAGATAAAAGAATACTTTCAAAGAGGTCTGATGAATTGGCTATTCAATACTCCTTGGCTTTTATTGTTCAGTGTGCGAGTTCTGTATCCAACATGGGCCAATGTCTACTTGCTCAAACTCGCCAATTCAAAACATTAATGGCTGAGGTGGCAAGTCTTAGACAAGAGATCAGAGGGTTCAAGCACGAGAATAAAGAGTTGCACAAATTTGAAAATATTTACTCGACGAGCATGAAAAGAAAGCTCGATCATTTGCATGAATCTGAAAGTTGGGTTCAAAGTGATCACCAGAGATTTGTGGCTAGATTCCGAAGGCAACTGGTGCCTTCTCCTTCTGGTGTTTTGCCAAATAGTGGGGCGTCACATGATCAATCTCCAGTGTGTCCCCCTTCTGGGATACTGCCAAGTACTG